TTACAAAACATGAGGTGAAGTTCTTTTTTAATTGAAGTGGTGCATTTTAAGTTTATTTCTTTATTTAGTGATTCATTTATATATGTCAGCTTTTATTTATAATTACGTCACTGTCGGTCCTCCATACTGCAGAACTTGGAAGGTAAATCAGTGACTGAATCAGGTGTGTTGGAGCCAGGAAAAACTTAAAACATGTAGGGCTGCGGCCCTTGAGGACCAGGATTGCCCACCCCTGGTATAAGAGAACAACACAGACCTGCAGACTGATTGCAAATTGAAAAATTCTGTGATGAAGTGTCAAACAGGTGCTTTTGGTGATTTCATACGGATCAGGGAGTTTCTAAGAGCTTGGAGCATTTAGTTTCTGTTCTGTAACCACAGCTAAAACGGAGTTGGGACTTCTTCAATGACATCTGCGCTAACTGTTTTGCAAAAGGATAGGAAAACTGTGTCAATCCAATGAGAATGGGTTAACATATTTGCAAGAGGTGTCTTCTGCTCTGCTGAGATGGTGATGATGAAGACTGAGAGGTTTCTTCAAACAGGTCAAAGCAATCAAGTGGTGCTGCCTTCCACTCTGCCCTCAGTTCAGAAAGCTTTCAGTGTTCAACCGAGGACATAAACAGCTTCAACAATCATATTAGTGGTATCTTTTTTGGGTTTTAAATATGTTGTCCCATGATAGTCAGGGAAATAAATATCTATGCGATCTCTTCAGCGTTGGCATGCGAAGCGCCAGAAGGAACACATTCCTTTAAGAAATGCTATTTTTATTATCAGATGCAACTGATTTCTGGCAGTCTTCTCAAGATCCTCCACTGCTTTTTAACCCGACGTTGGGTCCTGACCCCAACAAATTGGGAACCAGAACAACCAGCATGTGCAGCTGCAACGTCAAGTGCTATAAACTGTCACATCAAACTGAGGACTTTGTATTGACTTCCATTCATTTTTTGAAACTGTATTTATGCCTAACCCAGACATTTTCCCTAAAATTAACCATTCCTGGTCTATAGTTAACCCTAATTCACACCATACCTCTAAACTTAACTAGTAAAGAACAGCAGAGCTGCAAACAAAGGGAGGACATTGAAGAGGTCCTCACTTTACATCAAAGACCTCACTTTGATAGTAACTGTGGCACAAATGATCCTCACTCTAGGGCTGGGCGATATGGTCGCAAAAAAAATCTCAGATTTTTTCATCCCAAATTCGATTTTCGATTTTAATCGATTTTGCTTCCTACATAATGGAGTGCCTCTGTTTCGTGTGTCAAAACAAATTTGTTGTACTCCTGCTTTTTGTAGCAAGAGTCTTTAAATAGATTTAGCAGTGAGGTGTTTGTTGCTCAAAGTCCGAAGTTGCAAAACCCAACCAGTTCCATGAAAACTGAAGAAACAGTGACTTTTTTGGGAAGTAGATCCTCTTTGCTAGCTGCCATGTTGTCATGTCCTGTACCAAGCATCTTGAGGGACAGGTGGGATGACCTCTGAACTACAGAAGCCCCAGAGTGCACTGGTGGGAAAAAAAAAATCTCGATTTTCCAAAAATTAAATCTTTATAAATGGAAAATTAGAATGAATCGATTAAATCGGTTTATCGCCCAGCCCTACCTCACTCTGTAGTCAAACCACACACACACACTCATCCCAAAAGTTGTTTAGCGATGGCTTGCAAACAAAGGAAGAACGCGAAGGTTGTTCCAAAAAAATTGATATCAAACTGAAATAATCAGCTCCAGGTTAGATTACATAACTCTCTTTGTTTTGGCATCAGCCTGCTGTCTCGTCTGCAGCTGCTTCAGAAACCTGCAGAAACCTACTACTGCAGAAACCTACTCAACTTTGCACCTCTACGTTTTTTTTAAGCAGCTTAAAACTTATTTTCTGTGGCTTTTATTTGCAACTGAAGGTACTCACTGAAAAGCATGAAATCAAACATAAAGTTTTACGCTGCACCATGACAAAAGGTGCAGTTTGAAAGAGTGCAATTTTTTTTTAGATATGTTGATATGCAATTCTGAAACGTGGGTATGCACTCAACGTAAACAAAGCACCAGGATGTAGCTGCTGAAAACAATGTAGAAAGTAGAGTTATGTGATCGACCTACATTAGGCCGGCTGCAGTCTGCAGCTGAACAAACTCTATTTGGACGGAAATGAGAGTTTGCGAAACTCAAACTGAAGATAGGAAGAACAAGTAATGTATCTGTCAATAGCAGTGATCAAGCAGGGCGGTGAAGCCTCAGAACACAAAGGTCAGCATAGTTCTTCCTATTAAATAACTAAGTAAATAATAAATAAATAACATGTGGCTTTTGCAAAACGTTTGCTAGACTGGTAACATTAGCTGTTGGACTTCTTGTTACCATACAGTGAATCCACAGACATGTTGACCTATTTTCACTTTGGCTGTTTGCCAAGATAAACAAACTCACATGGTAGCTGGCCTTTTTTGGTCTACAAGTTTGTTTTTTTTTAATTTAAAGACATGTTAGCAATAATAATCATCAATAATAAAAAAATATTGTGCAGATTACATTTTTTTATTTAAATTCTATAATTTTTTGGTTCTGGATTATTATTGTTTTTTTTTATAGCTGTTTGTTTCAAATGATTTTCTTACCTTTGTGAGTGTACCTGTGCACTGTGGNTTTTTATAGCTGTTTGTTTCAAATGATTTTCTTACCTTTGTGAGTGTACCTGTGCACTGTGGGGCCACATTAATGTAGGATTAAGAAACCATATCTTGGTTTATTTATTTAATTAAAATTTGAATTCAAATTATTTCATTCCATTTTGCCCATTTATTTCTTATCATATGTCAAACACTACATGGTGTGATCCCGCACGTGCCTTCTTCCTCCATTGCGTTATCACCGCCCCCGCGGCCTGTCCCGTCGTTTAAACCATTCGCACCACAGAAGCGCTGGCCCCACGTGTCACTGTGCTGCTGCACAAAAACACCAGGCCGCCTGCCGCAGATGCGCGTGCGTGATTGCAAATACTGCGCAGCACATGGTGGTAGCGTTTGGGAGCTGCGTGTGGATATACCATCAAGGTTTTTAACTGCTAGCTTGTTTTAGCTCTCCCGCCTTCAGGTGGGTTAAAGTTTATTTTAGCTACAAGCTCCGAGGTTATCTTTGCACGCGAAAAGCTGAGAGTTAGGAGGTATAACTGTGACTCCGACAGGACTTAAAAACAACTCGTCTCCCACGCCAAGAGATAAACATGTCGACTGGTACAAAACAAGTGAAAAGCTGCCCGATTCCGACCCGGGTCCTCACCCTGAAGGACTGGTCCCAGCTGCCGGACTGTTACAGCCAGACTCCCGGGGGGACCCTCTTCTCCACCACGCCTGGAGGTAAAAATAAATAAACACTTCGACGTCTGTTTTATTTTTATTTGTTTTTTAAACAACTTTCACTTCGGTTTAAACGACTCCTGAAAAGCTCGACAGAGTTGAAGATGTGCATATCGGTCAAATCTCGAAGCAAAAACTCTCGCGAGAAGTTGCGAACAATACAAACCGTGCAGTTAGTTTGGCTCAATTTTAGGGTTAAACATGTTCAGAAACATTACTGGGTTAAAGTAAATTCAAAGTAAAAAGAAAGGTATTACTTTTTGCTACTGCACAAACCGCTTCATAAACGCTTTACAGTAAAAGTTTGCAGTAAAGTCACATTTCAGTCGCAAAAAAAAAACAATCTTTTTTTTTTTTTTTTGCATTAATACAAATGCATGTACTCTGAGCTTAAACATGACAAATCAGAACTTTTTTCCTTTTGTCCACGCATTTGAGGTTTGGGCATTAAAAACATCCTGTTTGAGACAAAAGCTTTGCAACTCGTGACTCGGGAGGTGGGGGTGTTCATGTCTGATTGGCCTGTGCGCCTGGATGGTGGTGCTGGAGGCTGTCCTGAGTTTGAGGAACAGCAGAGAACTTTTTGTACAGATTTAAAGAAGGGGAGGAGGGATTAAAGTTTGTGTGAGGATTATTTTTGTTGTTTTTAAAGTGCATTGCACATGTTGAACAGTGTAGGAAGTGCTTATGTTGGGGTTTTTGTTTGCAATCTTTCACACACGCAGCTGGAGGGTCAAGTGTATGTGTTGCTGGAAGAACCCCACCTTTATATAATCACTGTTTGCTCTGTACATTGCACTCTATCCCCTCTTTATGAGCCTCGTTTCTGTATGCTCCTCCCCCTTTTTGCTCTGCTTCCTTTTGTCCAGGATGAAGTGTTCAAACCCAACTGTTACATAAGATGTTTATTCACATCGGAGCTGATTCTGTACAAAACAGTTCAAACTCCAGTAAAGAATAAAAGCAACAGACCGCTCCTAACGCCTGCCCTGTTGACACRTCCTCACAACGAGCCTTTTAAATGTTTTACGAATTCAAGAATTCGTCACAGCTTTAAGTGAACGTGTCAACATGTTTTCAGATGCAGCGAGCTGGAGTTTCTTCTTCCCTATTTTGTTTTGCAGAACTAGACGTCATGTGACTGCTGCAGGGGTTAAAAAAAGTCATTTTAAGAAACAAACGTGAGCATGCTGCCACAGACTGACAACTTGAACCCACCCAGTCACGGAAATGTTTAAAATGGATAGTGTCTCTTTTATTTTATTTTTATATATTTTTAGAAATGTTTAAATTAATTTCCAGTGATGCTGCTTAAATTAAGAAATCTATAGTTTCATTTCAGGTCTTGAACTCAATGTTAAACACATCCCATGTTCTCCGTATTCCTGTGAAACGCAGGCACTCGCATCATCTACGACAGAAAGTTTCTGCTGGACTGTCGAAACTCCCCTCTTGCCCGGACGCCCCCGTGCTGTCTGCCTCAGATCCCCGGCGTAACGGTACCTGCCACACACCCCATGGGCAAACTGCAGGACCTCAAAGAGGAGGAGGAGGAGAAGGACGTCACAGGTGAATAGTTTTAATGTTTCTAAATGAATGGGCCGCGCAGAAGTTACAAAAAATAGCTATCTATATCTATCTATCTATTTATCTATCATCTATATATCTATCTATATATCTGGCATATTATAGATGCCCCTGAATTGGCTAATCTTGGTAAACTTACAGAAGCCTAGATTTGAGTAATCATGCTAAACATTGCATTAACATTATTTTTGCCCTCCATGACTCTAATATCTATATCTATATATATTTTTTTACTTTTGATAAAACAGTTAAACATTAACTGCAGTCATGTTTTATTGCTTCAGAGGTTATGACCTCTTGGGTTTGGTGCTTTTAAAACTTGGCCACCTATTATTATTGTTATTGTTATTATTATTATTATTATCATTACATTACATACTTTTGGTTTATTTTTAACTTTTGATAAATACATTTTAATGCAGTTCAACATTTCTGACTTTTCTAGATTTCTAATGATCCTCTTTTTGGAGATTATGACCTCCCTGGGTTACAACCCTTTGAATTAAAGGTTAAAGTGTATAAATTCTCAGTATAAGTCTTTGTTTTTTTTCCCTGTTGGTAAACAGAACATGTTGTCTCGGTGATAAGGACTACAGATTGTTTGTCCACTTTCTCTGTGGTTCGTTAGGGTGTGGTCGAGTTGGAAAGCTTATATTTAAATGTCACCACATTTACTCTGACACGTTTTTTTCCTGTCTTTGTTTTTCCAACAGATGACAGTCAGTTTGAGATGGACATCTAAGCACCAGTTTTGCCTCCTGTGGAGATTTATTTGTTTAAAAAGCCTCAAGTCATTAATGACTGTAATGCATTACATATAAAGCTTTCTTTTTCACCTTTTTTATTGGAAAAAAAAAAAAAGAAAATGTGAGGAACTGAAACGTAAAGGTAATTGATTAGGGTGTGTTTTCCACCCCATCTGGGAAGTTTGAAACATCAAAAATGGGATTAACTGTTTTCCATCAGGTCGATTTGGTTGCTCACTTATTTCATAGCAGCTGTGGGATTGAGTAGGAAGTCCATTTTGATTTACCTTTTTTATCTTTTGTAAATAAACTTGTGTCATGCAGTCAATATTTTTAAGTTGAGGAAGATGAATACATTAAGACATGTAGAAACGGATGTTTTTAATGTATGAGTCAGCCTTATTTTCACCCCCCTGGAAAAGGGAGGGCAGCTTTAATTACGAGTAAATAAGGGTCTCCTGATGAAGGGGTTGGGTTCCTACTAAAAATCAGCTCTTACTTTGTTTTGTACGGCAAGAGATGAGATGTGAAAGTTTCAAATAAAGATTGTAAACTTTCATTTGTTGCGTTTTGGTTTTATCTGACTGATTTGTCAGCAACAAACATTTTTGCACAGAACTATTCAAGATCTGGGAGTCTGAATATGAACTTCACTTCTCTTGCATCATTGCCATTAAAGGCAGGAGATCATGTTGTCTGTCTGGCTCTCCTGCAAAATAACTTAAACACACTGCATTTCTGTGAAATGAAAGTAATTATTGTACAGTGGGGAAAATAAGTATTTAGTCAGTCACCAATTGTGCAAGTTCTCCCACTTAAAAA